TTAGCTAACCTTATGCTATTTTTGGATTTTAGCTAGCCTTATGCTATTTTTGGCTTTTAGCTAGTCTTATGCTATGTTAGGCTTTTAGCTAACCTTATGCTATTTTTGGATTTTAGCTAGCCTTATGCTATGTTAGGCTTTTAGCTAGCCTTATGCTATGTTAGGCTTTTAGCTAGTCTTATGCTATGTTAGGCTTTTAGCTAACCTTATGCTATTTTTGGATTTTAGCTAGCCTTATGCTATGTTAGGGTTTTAGCTAGACTTTTGCTACTTTCAGCAGCGTATAGATTCTGTTGTTTCTGTATTTAGCTATCTTTTTGGCACTTTTAGCTTCTCACTTTTGTTTTGCTCTTGTTTCGTTTTTAGCTAACCTTCTATTACTTTTACACTTTTGCTAGCCCTTTGATAATTTTAGCTTTAGCGATCATTTTGCTATGATAACTTGTAGTTAACCTTTTGCTATCTTTAGCTAGCCCTTTTTAACTTTTGATTTCCTGCTACTGTTTTGCTAGTTTTAGCTTCTAGCTAGTTTTAGCTACTCTAASCATTTGGTACTTTACTTTTAGCAAGTATCTACTTTCAGCTTTTAGCTAGCCATTTGCTACTATTAGCATATAGCCATTTGATACTTTTGGCATCTTGCTAAAGTTTGACTACTTTTAGCTTCCATCCTGCTACTTTTATTTTAGCCTGCCTTTTGATATCTTTTTTAGCTTTTAGCAGTCCTCTTGCTACTTTAAACTTGTAGCTAACCTTTTGCTACTGTTAGCATATAGCTAGCTTCTGATAGTTTTGACTCCAGCTATTGTTTTGCTGCTTTTAGCTCTTAGATGTTTTTGCTTATTGCTAGTGTTTTGCTGTTCTTGTCTTTTAGCTAGCTTTTTGCTATTTTTAGCATTCAGCTAGTGTTGATAACAAAGTTTCAGCAGTCGTTTAGCTGAACTACAACTTCCTGTTTTAATTTTCTTTAAATCAGGTTAATTTTTCCATGAATGTTGGAACTTTTATTGATCTGAGGAAAACTTCRGCTTCTTTAGAGCTAAAACGTTTAAAGCTAATTAACTAAATAACCTCCTGATTCCAACACGCAGCTAAAGTTTTTTTTTACCTTCTCTCTCTCTCTCTCTCTGCAGCCGTTCCCCAGCCTCTCCCAGCTGTCTGCAGCCCTGGGGGGTCTCAGCGGGGTCCCGGAGCTGGAGGTGGAGGCCCTGAGRCCGGTCAACCTGCTGCAGGAGAGGAACCTGCTGCCCCCGAGGCCCTCGGAGGGCCCAGAACCCAACATCAGCCCCGACCTGAAGAAGGTCAACTGCAGCCCGCAGTGAGTGCCGCTCTCTGAACCGACACCTGGGCTGTTTGTCTCACCTGTCGCTCACCTGTTTGTTTGTTCCTCTGCTGAGCAGGACCTTCAGGTGCACCCTGACCAGCATTCCACAAACCCAGGCTTTACTCAACAAGGCCAGGCTCCCCCTGGGGCTCCTGCTGCACCCCTTCAGAGACCTGCAGGTAGGATCTGCTGACTCAGCACCAAGGTTAAAAT